GCAGTGGGCGGTGGTGGTGAAGAAATGAATAGATGCACTGTAGCTGTCAGCAAGAATTGGGCTGGGGAATGGATGGATGCGCTGGTTTCAGTAGGATGGATCCGGCTGTACTGAACTGTACAGGAGAGTCTTCCGGAGGATTTTCAGGAGGATGGGGCACGACGATCAGGAGATGGGGAGACCCAATGAGGCCAGAGCACAGTTGTTGGGCCACGGGAAATTCGTTTTCTTTTTTCCTGTTACAGTAATCGGTAATCTGATACGATAAGGAAATCGCTTACGGGTGTGAGAGGTTGACGCGAGTGCTGCACGGGCTGAAATAGGGTTTGGCAGTTGGGGGAGTTGCGTGGCGTATCCAGGAGGAAAGAGAGGGTTTCGAAACTCGTTCAGGAACAAAACAAACGAACGGGGAACCACAAGAAACAAAACGGGCACTCAGGTTGGAGTTCAGTTGAGGGTGGGGGAAGCCCTCTCAGGTCCCGCGCACGGGAGTGGAGAAGAGAGGACTGAGCTTTTGGAAGTCCTCTCAGCGAAAATGCCGAGGGTTGTTTGGCTTGGCTGGGAGCGAGAGCGCGACCGAGCACAGCGGAAATGCGGAAGACAGGGCGGATCCCAGGGTCGCAAACTGCCCTGCAACCAGAAATATTGCAGCCATCCAGACAAAATCATGGCTTATAGGAATAGCTGGGCAGAAAAATATTTTGTCACAAAGGGAGACGCGTGTTCTTATAAGTGGCCTATCGATTCTCCTTTTAGATCCGAATTACGAGTCAAAATACGTATTTCTCCGATGCCCGAACGAGATGTAACGAGCTTTGATGGGCAACCTGCGGCTCCAGAAGCCGAGTACAACGGCATGAATCAGGAACACCTGGCTGGCAGCACTCTGCCTCAGGACACAGTGTTGCGCGTCACCAGGGCGAGGAGGGACCCAATTTCGCACCGCAAGAAGGCTGCTTGTCAAGGAATTCAAATCTGATGGCAGACACCCTTTGCTGAATTGACCTAGTTGTGCGCCACCTTGAACACCCAACATGCCCACCTGACCAACAGTCAGAATTTGTCGTGATCCAAAAGCTCAAGTACATGCCAGCGTGCATTCTGAGCCGACGATCGTATTGCGATCCTCGAACCGTAGAAAGCGGGTTACAGGCACGCTACAGTAACCTAGAAACAGTCAGGTACCAGATGGAAGGAGGGAATCTCTTCCGAAACAACCCCGCAAAACGATATGTCGTCCGGATCACGTTCGATCCTACGCACCAAAGTACCAGATCGCGGCACCCCAAATGTCACGAAACCTCAAGCGCTTCGCCAGCTCGCGAATGGGTTTGGCTCGCGTCGCGTTTAGACTGTTGCGGCCATTGCGATCGTCGAGTGCTGGTTGCTGGGTTTGCGCGAAGACCTTGGCGAACATCATGCTGCCATGCTGCAAGTTGATTTTGCGGATCAAAAGCTGCAAATCTGAAACTCGACTACATCGCGTACAAGTCCGTTATTGATGATATTTCAGCCGCGATCCTCCGAAACGGACGCAATGTGCCGCGCCCTTAGAAACGCTACAATTCGTCCGTTTTGAAAGATCGCGGCTGATAGAACTAAATCGATCCTCCGCAAACGATTTCGTATCCGTTGGAGGTATGTTCCTACTTGCAATTTCCGACCCGCGGGGGCAATTTGGAGCACACATAGAGCGCACTTCGCCTATAAATTCACGGAAACATGGCAACCAGCAAACTGAGGTCGCAATTTTAGCAACGAGCACAAACCCTCCACCCCACCCATCGACTTTTTTCGCTCCAACCCGCCCGTCGGATTTCGTGCTTTTCGGGTAGCGCGATCTAGTGCATTGGCTGGTGAAATCGACCGTGAGATCGACGTTGATTATCTGTGGGATTGCTTCGAAATTGAACTTCGTCTCCAATCTGGAACTTGATGTATTCCGTGATACAGGTCAGACTCGAACAAAGCAAGCTCCAAGATTATTGGAAATTGCTCTGTTCGAGGGGGGCTCTGCGACGCAGACGTTTTTGCATTTAGTGGGTTGTTGCGCTGTCTGTAGTGCCTCTGTCGTATTCTACGACTGCTAGTCGCAGAATGTCGCACTCGCGTTGATGCGACGTTACGAGGATGTATTGCAAAACACATTACGAAAACCATTCAACATATCAAAAACAAGGGACACAAACAGAAACACGCTGCATAACCGGATCCCAACATTAAAACGTGCACTACCACTCCCACCAGATAGTACTAACATAGCCGCGCACAGTGGCGGCTCTTCCGTCACGGTGCGTTGCCAGCGCCAGAGGCGTCTACGCAATGGCTCAGGATCCTCGCTGACTCAATGAGTGTCTCCTCGGTTGATCGTCTATCCTGGGCGATCGTCTGTTGGGTGACGTGTGACGTGTCGGCAACAAAAGAACGAAAGAGGCTGACGGGGAATGAATTATGAATTTCCCAATTGTCGGGCAGATAGAGTTGGGCGGTCACGGACGTTATCATCTTGATGGTTTTGAATGGCTTACACTATAAGGGTCAGAGTTTTTACGGTATCTGCAGGCGAAGTTTTTTTGTGCCAAGTAGAACTAGTTTTCCTACACTCAATGCAATGTCCTGTCTGTGGCAGTTGGCGTATTGGCGGGTAGTGACATTGGCTTTTCGAATAAATTTGATGGCTTTCGTGTGGGCGGTTTGTGTCACGAAAGCTAGGTAGCTAGGAACAGAAGGAAGCCATGGAATGGCGTGAGGGTTTAGGAGCTAAGAGCTATGAGAGAAAGTTGACGAGAGAAAAGAGGGAGAACTAGAAGAGAGAGAGGCATACAAGGAAGGAGTTGTACCCTCTAGAGTTCGATAGACCTACCAAGCCTACCAATTATACAACAAAATATATAATTTAATACACCTTCTAGGCTTGGTAGTAGAAGAACCCACTCACACCCACAGCCCCTAACCTAGCACCCCCATTCCAAGCATCGGCCACGACTAATCCGGTGGGGCCAACCCCCACGGCCTGTGTGGGTGACCCTTTTCCTCACCAGATCTCAACCCGGATATTTTTCCCCACCAGTCACGACTACTTCGACTGCTGCACCGCTCAGAGACATATGGATCCTAGCATGATTCTAATAGTGCAAGGATGCACTGTCAACCGTGCTATGTTACCCTAAGTTTCGTGGCAGATTCGGAATTTTTTGCCACTCTGCTTGTAATTTTTACCAACAACGGTGCTATGAAGACGATCCATCATAAGACGAGACCAATCGACTAATGGCATCTTTGGCCACACCTCAGCATGGCTAGTCTTAGAGATAACATTCAACATGAAATCGTGCACAGTACTCTTGCATACGTTCAAATACTTCGCGATCTTCCTAGGGCTCACCCCCTTATGCAAAAGCGTGGGTCCAGGAAGAGTGCGAGAAGATCCCTGTAAAGGCTTGCACTAACCTCATAGATAACATGCCTAGGAGGGTGTAGGTGGTGATCAAGGCCAAGTGTCGGTTGACTAGGTACTAGTTTTGCTAGTAATTAGTTTGCTGCCTGTCCTCGGTACAAATTGTCCGGATGTGCTGTTATTAAATGTTGTCATCTTGAAGGACCATGAAATATACTACTCTGGTTTTATGAGATTTGAGTGAGTGCTCTAACTGCTCCTCTCTACGTGTATGGCCACCATGAATTAAGGCTTAATGTTTATAGCGTACAGCTCATCAAAATGTGAAAATATGCTAAACATGTGGACAATTGTTTCCGCCACTGTAGGTGGAAATGGGCACTGTCGGATCCATCCCGTAATTCAGGAAAAGGGGCGAATGATTGGTCGTGACGGAGGGTGCATTGTTGTAGGAAAACTCGAGCATGGGTAGCGAATCTTCCCATTTGCTGATATCTGGGCAGTTTGTGCGAATCAACTGTTCCATGGTCTGATTTGTCTTATCTGTCCGATCGTCGGTTTGCGGGTGATAGGCAGATGAGAATTGTAGGCGAGTGTCGTATCAGTTCCATGTGTCTTGCCAAAAACGCAATGTGAATTTCGGGTCTGTGTCACGAAGTGATCCATTTTCTTTAGGCGGTCGACGACGACAAGAACCGCTTCGTTTCCACTTGGTCCGGCCGGTAGGCCGGTAACAAAATCCATGGTCACGTGTTGCCAAGGTCGTTGGGGTGGCTTGAGGGGCTGCAACAATACTGCTGACTGCTGGTGTGATGATTCCATTGTCTAACAGGTCAAACACACGCCCACGTACTTTTGCACGTCTGAAATCATGTCCGGCCAGTAATAAAACCGCTGCAGTGCTTTCTGAGTCTTATCAACCCCGAAATGCCCTTATAAGTTCGAATCGTGGACTTATTGAATTAGTAATTCGCGAAGTAGATGATAATTTGGGACCCAAATTCGTTCCGTTCCCACTTTTATGTAATAGGCTCCCCGCACTCTCGTGATTTGCTGGTGACCGTTGTTTACGAGAAAAGGGATAGATCGAATATTCGTAGGTAAATAGTTCACTCAGCAACGGGTTCGCCTGGGCGATTAGTACAGCGACGGTTTGGGCAGATGAACTGGAGAGGGCGTCAGCAATATTGTTGGCACCTTTCTTGTACGTGATTCAATGCGTGAAGTTCGACTCCAAATACTCCAACCAGCGAATCTGTCGCGGGATGAGATTCGGCTGCGCTCGAAGCTACACTATGGATTTGTGATCTGTTCGTACAGTCACGTCGGCTCCCATCAAGTAGCATCGCCAGATCTTGAACGCGTGCACCATGGCCAGCATTTCTTTGTCGTGTACGGGATAATTTCACTCGGCCGACTGTAATTTTCGCGACTCATACGCTAATGGCTGAAGGCCGTTGCTAAAATTCTATAACAGGACTGCTCCGATTGCGATGTCACTTGCGTTTGTCATGACCTCGAATGGTCGTTCTGGATCAGCAATCTGAAGTACTAGTGGCGAGATTAAAACATTTTTTAATCCATGAAATGCAGCTTGCTAATT